AATCAGTAAATGACAGTAGCTCGCTACTTCCTCTATAATCTGTTTGGCATTTAAAGCTCTTTGCAGCAGGCCTTATCCTGCTTGAATTCACAAGGCTGCCTTCAATCCTGTATACATCCATTTTAGGGATGACCCTCATTCACCTGAGCTCAGGAAAGAACAAACACAAAAGGGGATGCTCACATTCAAGTTCAGGCTTGCTTAGAGAAGATGTGATTTAGTTGCCACATGCTTAAAACCACCTGATGGCCAGGATGCATGTCATATTCTAGAGTAAAATATAATACGAAGTTCAAAGTTCAAGTTACCACTCTAAGGGGCAGTGTTAAATGTTCTAGATTAAGAGTCAGTGTTTCTTGTCGTCTGTTTGTTTCAGTCACGTACACCTCTTTGTGATCCTATTTAGGGTTTTCTTGGCAGAGATGCTAGAGTGGTTTGTCATTTCCTTCTCCAACTCATTTTATAGATGAGAAACTGAGTCAAACAGGGTTAAGTGATTTGCCCAGGGTCACACAGCTAGTAAGTGTCTAAGGCCAGACCACGCCAGATTTGAACTCATGAAGATGAGTCTTCCTGACTTCAGGCTGGGCACTCTATCCACTGAGCCTTCTAGCTGCCACCCAAAGAGTCAAAGAATATGGATTCAAATTCTGACTTGTCATTTAACCTCTTTGAACCTCAGTTTTTCCAATGTAAAAAGAATGAGTTGAATTAGATAGACTCTAATGTCACTAAGGATACTATGACACTATGAAATAGATTTTAAAATACCTTGATCAGCTCAATATATTCATGGTAATTGAACTGATAAGCATTCTTAATTAAATAACAAATTAATAAAGTTTTGGAAACAGGGCTTTAGTCTCTACTGATATGTCCAATGCTTAGAATCATTAGATTAATTCTGGCCATTACTGATTTGGCAGTTAGGAATCTGGATAATGTACACCCTTGATAACCATCTTTGGTTATTAACATAGTGATTCTATTGGACACATTAATAATTAATTATGCCATATATCCTACTTCCTTGATTTGATCACTGTGGAAACTTTTCCAATGCTGCCACTTTCATAGCAAATAGGGTTAATTTAGAACACTACTTTTCTAGTGCCACTAGTAAACTGGAAAAAAAATCGGGAAAATAGAACTCTGAACTACCTTGTCATATCAGTGAATATTGAATGTCATGGGTATATGAGATCTAGCCTTAGGTTCTGTGGATAGGGCAGAACAACTGGTTGGAACAAGAATTCTTCCAGGAAATAGCATTCTCATGATTGTAAGCCATTCAATAAATGAATTAACTTTTATCTAAGGCAGGTAACACTGGGTGAGTAAAAGTTTGAATAAAAAGACCCCTGCTATGAGATGGATGCCTATGTCTTTACCATGAATTTATTACAGTGGACGAATGTGGTAGATTTCCAAAGACCACTCCTCAAAGGAGTTAAATGTTCTTTTTGCAAAATTTAAGTATATTTCAGGTTTGAAAAATCTTTATAGTTAAAATATTATCTATAAGGAAATGTTACATGGCATTTAACCAAGTCTTGAAAGATGTAATTAATGTGTTTTTTTAAAGCTTTTAAAGCTCTTGATTTCTTAGAATTCTTCATTGAGATACTCTTTTAGTTTGGCAGACGAAAAGCACAATGCTAGAGAATGAGACTTTCTGATTGTAATTGGAAGGCATGATTTATAGTGTCCCACTTTCAGATAGAATTTTTTCCCCAGTCTGCCTAAATCTTAGTGTCTTCTGTTTGAGACTGCTTCCTATTTGTGATATGTGTGTATGTATATAAATGTCTATATATGTCTATATATGTATATGTATGTATATACACATACAAACACACACATATGCACATATATGTATGTATATAGACCTACTCACATATACAATATATAGACTATATATGTATATTTTTACATATATACTATGTATATGTGTGTGTGTGTGTGTACACACATCTATAGTTTATCTATATTTGCATGTTGTCTCTCACATTAGTTGTGAGCTTCACGAGGACAGGAATTGTATTTGTTTTTATTTTATATTTTGTTTTGTTTTTCTTTTCTTTGTATCCCCAAAGATTAGCACAGAGTCTGGTACTTAGCAGCCACTTAATAAATGCTAATTGACTGACTGACTAGCACCCACTTACCTTGCTTGTCCATTGATAAAAAGGGGGCTATGTGTTATTTGAAAGAAAGTGTTTTATGGCTGAGGAGGTAAGGGAGAAAACATGCCTGAGGGAAAAGGATTACAAAGTAATTACTGAAGCTCACTAAGAGAATGTAGGCACTGTACTTGATGAGGGCTCTTAGTCATAAACGTCTCTTGGAACAGTTGGCACTTAATAATGCTTACTGATTGATGGATAGAAAATATAAACATCTAATAAGGCAAATCTGGACTTTTTTCCTATGCTTATAGTGACAAAAAAGTTTGTAATCACTGTGTAGTCTCCTTTCTTCCTACACGATTTGTAAGGGGGATCAGTTTTGACAAAGGCAATAATTGGTGCTTGGTCAATTGCAAAACTCAGTCAGGAAAATCATGCATCCAAATCCCCAATGTAAAATATTTACTCATTGTGTGACAAAGAACAAGTCACTTAATATCTCTCACTTAGTTTGCTGTTGTTCAAAATAGAGTTCTACCTACCTCATAAAGGTGTTGAAGCTCAGATAAGTTATATGACGTGCTTTCCAAACTTGAAAACATTACATTAAGCTTAGTTTTTATTTCATTCTCATCTTGTGTTCACTGGAGTTCAGATAGCAATGGCCCTGGGACAAGTTCCTATCCCGGTGTCTTTTTTATGTTGAATGTTCATCAAACTGTTTCACAGGCAGATAAAAGGATCGATTTTTATAATTGAATGAAGGTATTTTGATGCTGGTTCATCTTGCGTAGATTCACTGAAAGCATCTTTGGGGCAACTCTAGTAATACACGGGGATTTGACTTCATCCTATAACAATCTAAATGTGGAGTGCTTTTCTTTCTACATTGTTTAGAGGCAAATCATTTTCGATTTTTTGGTATATATGTTCAAATATCTTTTTCTTAAACTTTTATGTGGATTTTTTACTAGGCATATCACTACCCTTTAATATTCTAAATTATTTATAGTAGTTTTTTCTCCTATTTTTTACTTAAATCTTAGTATTAGCTATTTATTCTTTCCTGTAGCAATGAAAATTCTTTCCCGTAATAATGACCCCCCAACGCCATATTGACTATTTCTCAATTTGTTGTTTTAGACATATAATATAATTCTAGATATAATTAAAATTTTCTTTTCTGGTTTTGTTTACCATTTGTGGGAGGCTGTAGAGTGGAAAGAGCACAGTCAATCAATCAGTCAACATTTATTGGAGTCAGCAGATCAGGATTTCGATCTTGGCTCTGCTACTTTCAACACTGGGCAACTCTCTTCAAACCTCTAGGCCTCACTGTCCTCTTTTGTAAAAATTTGGGGTGGTTGGACCAGATCAACTCTAAGGTCTCCTCCACCTTTAAATCCGTGATGCTCTGAAGTGGCCTGCTAGTAAAGACTTTCACTAATACCTTGATCTGACTGTGTAATAGTCAAGATACTTTACCAACTATAAAGTTGTAGGAATCAGCATTTCAGATATCCACTAGTAAAAAAAAATATTTTATCATTAAATCAGGAAAAATGCCCATAGATAAAGCACAATTTCAATACCATTGGAAAGAGACTGATTAACATTGTTGTCCCTGACTTTTGGTAAACAGAATCTTAGCAAAATTACTGATAGGTAAGAAGCAAAACTAGCAGACATCACTTTCAGAATTCCTTGTAAAATGATAGATGTGTCAAAATCAATTCTGATTAGAAACATAAGAAATTGTCTGCCTTGATTTGCTCTTCCTGGACATCATTCACTGGCGCCCTTACCGTAATCACGTGCATGTCCTTGATTTAAGGAGTAATTTTGTTTGTCACAACACCAACAGATTTCTAGTATTTGCAATACTTTTAAGAATGTATAATCATATCTTTAAAATAACTAACCCATCAGATTGCTTAATACCAAAAGTACAGTTGAAAAGGTTGGTGAACTTGAACAGGACAATCCCATTTGGGCCAACAAGAAAATTCAGAATCTCACGTTTTTGGATCCCTGAGCTAAGAAAATAAGCAAAGGGTTGAATTAGTATTTATCTCAAGGTATAGTGATAGCATTTTATTTTAATAAGCTCACTTCAGATAGGCATAGGGAATGGACCTCTGATTTCATTAGTAAAATAGAGTTATCTAGTATTTTTGAGTTATGGTAGGTAAATTGTTTTAAAGTTCGAGCATTTGCTAAATGATCATTTGCTGCTCCCACGGGTGGTTTCTAGTCAGTCTGTCCAGGAGCTAGGTAATTCAGAGACAAGTTCAAATTTATATTTGAAAGGCAGTGTGTTATAGTGGTTAAGGTGAGTCAGAAAGACTTGGTTTCAGATCCTGCCTCAGACACTTATTAGCTCTATAGACCCTGGGTAACCCATTTCACTTTTCATCGTCTTAGTTTCATCATCTAAAAATAAGAGGCTTGGGCTCATGGACTTCTAAAATCCCTACCATCTCTAAAAGCAAGCAAATAAAAAACAAACCACAAATAACCCTATGATTTGATCATTTTTTCTATGAGTGCCTGTCTCATCCTATTCAAAGAATATAAGTAAAAACTTATCTGGGATTAGGACCAAATGCTACTTTCCATGCCCTCGGTATAGGCCTGACTATATTTGGCACCACCCCCACCCTGAACCTTTCCATATGTTCTGTTTGGTGAAGAGCTGCCTATTCACTTGCCAATGCATAGGTTTCTCTACTTTCCATAAAAATATGAGAATAGGCAAGATAGTCCAAATGAAGTAATGTACTAAAGATAGCCTCTGTTTTAATTTTAGATTATGCAGCGATGACATGTAGTATTTCTTGTTTTAAAGCATCTAAATTTCTATTTTTATAGGTGACGACCCTGGTCAATACAAGCAACAAGGGTCCATCAGGGAAAAAGAAAGGGCGATCTAAGAAAGCTCACGTGTTAGCAGCGTCTGTGGAACAGGCTACCCAGAATTTCTTGGAAAAAGGTGAACAGATTGCTAAAGAAAGTCAAGATCTCAAGGAAGAACTGGTCACTGCTGTAGAGGATGTGCGCAAACAAGGTACATTGAATTAAGTTTCAGCAGGGCATCTGGTTAATTTCTAAATGATAAAATTTCCTCCAAGAACAATGCATCCTTACTAAAATACCTGGAAACGTCTCTTTGCCCAATCAGCTGCTCATACCTTTTCACACGGTCTATGGGTATCTCCTTTGGAGTTTTCAGAAATCAGGATCAAGATAGATATTTTTAGTTGCGATCATATAGCAATGCTGCAAATTTGTCTTGGTCGCAATGACTTCATAGTCTTGAGCTCTATTCCCTGAGGCTATATCTGTCCCTGGGCTAAAGGACAATTGAGCAAGCACCTTGGCTGTAGGATTCCAGTTTGCTAGGATTTCACGAGCCAACACTTTGTTGTAGGAGGTAGAGAAAGAGGGTTCCTTAATCTATTAAATGGAGTTTAAAAATGAATGAAGAGAGCATATAAACAGGACACGTACGCATGGATTATGGCGGATAGAGATCATGAGATCTGAAGCTGTCTTGGATCTGCATTCAAATCCTGCATCTGTCACTTGCTAGCTGAGTAACACTTCATTTTCCCTAGGCCTCAGTTTCCTCATCTTTAAAATGAGGAGTAGGGGTTGACTCCATGCTCTCTGAGGTCCATTCTAGCTCTAATGTATATGTTTCTTCAATCTTTACTTTGCTTCTATCATCTCACCCAGCTTCTCTGACTCCTGAACTGTCTTTGATATTAATTTGAAACAGATTTTATCTATATGAAACACTGGGGGCATCCTACATGGAATAACTTGCTTCAGGCTTCCCACTCTCTGAAAATGTCCCTGCCTAAGGCTGTCTCTGCTGGCCAGGCAAAGTCAGGGATGTATAATCTCAACACTGAGACAAAGAGGAGTTCTGTGGACTGTGTCATACCATGTATCAAAAGAGGATCAATCATGAAATCTTCAGGGTAGAACTAGATGGAACCTTTGGAGACCATGGAGGTTTTTGTTTTTTTTTATAGATGAGGAAACTGAGGCACAAAGTGATTAGATGTAACATTTTGTTACATGTTTGATAGAATTTGAACTCAGGTCCTCTAGACTGCAAGCATTCTGTCCACTGTGCTACCTAGCCATATCAACACTTCCTAACACCAAAACTACTTCCCCAACCCAACAGTGACTACAAATATCCATTTTCAGTATTTTGGTAATATTGAGTTGTGAGCAGATTTTGCCCCATTCCTGAAGAAAACTGAGCTGACATATTGATCTGTCAGTCAGACTACATCTAGATTGATGTCAGAGATAGCAGTCTTTGTAGATATAGAACCAATAAAGCAAAGATTTAGGTTACACTTAGGAAAAGTTACCCATTATAGTTAGTTGTGTCTATATTTATATGTGAAAATAGATACGATGTAATTCCACTTATGTAGGAAATAATTCAAGTATTACCCCTATTTTATAGATGTGGAAGCTCAGAAAGGCTAAGTGAGATGGAAGAACTGAGAATTGAATCAATCTTTTGACTTCATTATGCTCCTTCTCATGTAATGAATATCAACTTGGGTACCTGGCAAATTGGGTGATATGTGGTTTGGCAAGTGCTGGTAAACTAAGAGGAACTACTGATTCTGGTTATTGCCCAGGGAATTCTACCAGTGGGCAAAAGAAGGATGTCTGTATAAGTGGGTGACTCATAAGGGAATATAGTAGTAGTAACAGAGAGAAAATGGTATATGTGCTGTTCGTAATTGCACAGGTTGTGATGAGGAGACTAGTGACCTGGCAGGCAGGGGGAATATCGTACCCAGATAGCTGCATAATAGGCAGAAATATGCCAAGAAAGATGTCAGGGAAGTCCAGCAGTAGAAAGCTCAATAGAGAGTTGTGTCTTGACAACATGGTGGCAGGCATTAGAGTATTGGCAAGTGGTTGTCATTGAATGTGTGGTAGTAGACAGCAATCATAGGTCATTGAGTTCAAGATGTTACTCTAATCTTTGTGAGTATTATTGAGAGGAAGTCAGCTAGGTGACTTAGTGGACATAGTGCTGGGCCTCGAGTCAGGAAGATCTGAGTTCAAATTTGGTCTCAGACATTTACTAGCTGAGTCACCCTGGGGAAGTCACTTTACCCTGTTTGCCTCAGTTTCCTCATCTATAAAATGAATTGAAAAAGGAAATGGCAAACCACTCCAGTACCTTTGCCAAGAAAACACCAAATGGGGTCACAAAGAATTGGACAGAACTGAACAACAGATTGAGAGGAAGTTAAGTCCCTGGTCTATGGATCAAGACATGCAGTCATTTAGCAGAAACTAGAGAATGAGGTGTGATTATAGGTCATCAGAATCTGAAGTCCAGTTACTAGAAGAATTGTGACTTAAGATCAATGTAGGTCCAAAATCAAGAGTTTCCTGGTATGCCAACTGAGCTGTGGATTCATTGATCTTTATATTACCCCTGCCTAGGAAGCAGATAAATTTCAGAGTCTGGGAAAGACTTTATCCTACAGATGGGGCTTGAGAGTCCCAAAAGAATAGTGTAGGGTCAGATATGACCAAATCTGGTCATTTAAATTAAAGATGGAAGGAAACTCCAGGAGCTGTATGTTAAGTATCACAATCTTAGCTTTTGTCAATTATGCTGGGATAATAAAACATTAATAGAGGTAATGGGGAAACTCAGTATGAAATTCACAAAACAATGAACTTAGCATTCTCTAGTGGGGATCCCTTGTAGCAAAGTAGAGGGTTTTTGAATCCCAGTAAAGGACTCAGTGGAAAAATGAGCCCCAAAGTGATGACACTATGTAGGTAAATAATTGTGAAAATTCACTGAGAGCCCAAGCACCAGAAAGGACAAACATCGTGCAAGGTGTCAGAAGAGATAAAGGTATTGGAAATACGCACACATTCAAATGTGTATAAACCTAACTTATAGAACCAAATAGGAAACACACACACACACACACACACACACACACACACTAATGGTTTTAATACAGTGGAGTAGCTCATTGTATGCTCTAGCTTTTGATAAAGATGCTTGAGCAAATAATTCTATGTTTCAAATGTTTTCCCCTTTTAATTAAGCATTTAACTCACTAACTGAAGTTTTCAAAGCAAGCAGAAATAACTTTTAACAGATAATTCATATTGATCAGTGTTGTTTTTGAAAAGGAAGAGCACAGTAGTCAAGGAGAAAGCAAAGAAGGCCATGATGATGTACTAATTGGCAAAACATTTTTGGCATAAAATACAAATTGTATCAGATAGAATGAGGTCATGTTTAACAATACCAGAGAGACAGACAAATAGGGAGTGAAGAAGGAAGGAAGGAAGGAAGGAAAGAAGGAAGAAAGGAATGAATGAAGGAATGAAGGCAACAAGATAGACTAAAAGAAGGAGGGAAGGAAGAAAGAAAGGGGAGGGAAGAAGGGAAGGAAGAAAGAGGAAGAGAAGGAAGGAAAGAGGGAGAAAAGGAAGGAAGGAGGAAGAGAAGGAAAGAAGGAAATATATTAAGAGAGGGAATGAATCTAGTGAACAGTCACAAAAGATGTGTTAGCAGCAGGCCTGCATTAAAGAAGAATTTAATTTAATAAAATGGAATAGACCACTCCAGGCTACGTCTCTTGATATATTGTGCCATATTCTAATGTTGTGAGAATTCCCCAAGCTTCTTTGAGTTCTGTTTATCCATGGGGTTTGATGTGCACATATAATAGTTTATCTGGCCAGCATTTACATGGCTCACTGTATACATTTTTATAATGATTTCTTTTCTAAAGTTGAATTTTCAAGATTGTAGCATGTTCATTTAGGCCAAGGAAAACACTGTATGAAATATTAATACTATATGCTTGTTTTGGTGGATCTGTGATGTCATTAATGTGCTCCATCAAGGTCCTACAAATTGTAACTCTGCCTCATCTAAGCCTTTGGGTTTTGGGTAGGTTCTGCCAATTCGTTATCCCACTATTTTAATGTGTAACTTGGATGCCTTTTTTCTCGTCATGTAACTCTTTGATGACAACCTTTCTTTAAAAGATCTTAAGAGGCTAAACAATTGGGATGAATCTAATGAGGTGAAATTTAGTAGTGGTAACTAGTGCTTTACCCTTGAAATCAAGAAATTGATATCACAGAAACAACATGGGAGAGTTATGGTAAGATACCAATTTACCTAAAATACATCTGGAGAGAGTAATTGTAAACTCAGTAGAAGTCACCAGTGAGATATGACTGCCCCAAATATAAATTGGGTCTTGGACTGCATTGAGAGAGGCACAGCTTCAAGGAATTAGCAAGTGATTGTCCTAACAGATCAGGGGTTCTTAACCTTGAGTATATGAACTAGATAGATTTCAGTGGATATGCAGATTTTGGTGGGTAAAAAATCCTTGTTTGTTTTATTATAATTAATTTCCTTTGTAATTCTATGTATTTCATTTGATGCACCTAAAAACATTCTTCTAAGAAGGACTCTGGGGGTCTCACCAGATGGCCTAATGTATCCATAACACCAAAAAGTTTAAGAACATCTGCTCTAGATTCTGTGTGGCCAGCACATCTGGAATATAATGTTTGGTTCCACAATTTATAAAGGCCATTGATTGTTCAGTTCCTAGCATAATATCTATTGTATAGTAGATGCTCAATAAATATTTCTTGATTACTTAATATGTTTGCACAGGAGTGCAACTGGAATACTAAAGGATCTTTAGTCTATATATATTGCATAGAGGTCAAATGAGGGAACTGCAGATTTCTAGCCTGGAGAAGAGACAATTTATGGAAGACGTGATATCAATTTCAAGTGCTTGAAAAACCCTCATAGGGCAGAGGAATTAATTATCCTTATTCGGTTTGACCCCAGAGGTCAGAATTAGCAGCAATAAGTGGCAATTGCAAGGAGAAAAGTTTATATTTAAGGAACATGTTTATAATAATTCAGGTACCTCAAATTGCAATACAATGTCAATCTTCCTGAGAAGGCTAAATACTCTCTTGTTGGGTTTGTTTTAGCTGGAATATGGGGGGGGG